CACAGGTTACATTTAAATTGGTACACTACGCACTGTTGATTAACCAGCTGTGGTTTGGTCTCACATTCTTTAAGGTCTTGGCCAATTTTCCGACTGACAAATACGGGCTGGATTGTGGTTTGGAGCTTAATGCTAAGGTCTTTCAACTGCGTCTTAACAATGTTAGCGGAGTCTTGGTCCTTGAAGGGTATGACTACTCGGGTTACATCATTTTTCGCCAATCTTCCCAACGCCTGCAATGGCTGCTGGTCAGCAATTCTCGAGTTCATAAAGGTGTTAATGGCGGAGTTGATAAGGTGGTGAGGGTAGTCCAAACGTGAGAATAATTTCTTCAAGCGCTCACACTCCTCAGAAAAATAAAGCCTTGAAGAGGACAAACGGTACGCGCGATCGAGCATAGTTGTTAATAAGTTCCGTTTGTACCGGTTGTCGACGTAACTCTGGTAGTGGACAAGTAAACTAGTATTAGTAGGCTTGATATAAACTTTCGTCTCAATTTGGGGTGCACGGCTTAGGAGCTGGGTGCCAAGAAAGGGGAGCATGCCATCATTTTCGATTTCCATTGTAAAGCTGACAGAGGGATGGGCGCGGTTCACGGTGTGTAGGAAATCCGTAGCTGTAGTAATGTTGGGCATTATAGTGAGAGTGTCATCTACATATGTGCGATAATAATCCCTTCAAGGACCAAGACTCCGCTAACATTGTTCAGACACAGTTGAAAGACCTTAGCATTAAGCTCCAAACCCCAATCCAGCCCTTATTTATCAGTCGGAAAACTGGCAAAGACCTTAAAGAATGTGAAACCAAACCACAGCTGGTTAATCAACAGTGCGTAGTGTACCAATTTAAATGTAACCTGTGAGATAGAGGGAGCTATGTTGGTTACACACGTGGGCATTTATATGCCCGCGTGGATAGCCATAAGAGCACGTCATCTTCAGTACGCAAGCACTACGACAATGACCACGCAGGTGCTGTTCCTGAGGACCTTCTTAGTTGTTTCAAAGTTCTCAAGAAGTGCATGAACAAATTCGATTGTCTTGTCAACGAGATGCTTTACATCAAAAAATTAACACCGAGTTTGAACGTGCAAACGGATTCTATTCGTGCTAAAGTATTTGCGTAGCTACCTCCCGTATGCATATTTGTTGTAACTCTTGAACTCGCATTTGTTAATTTATTTTCATTTCATACCCTTGATAATGGCGTCATGAAGTCGCCGAAACGTCGGGATATTATATCGTTCGTTTTTACCTGTCTATGTATTACTAAATCTTTGTTAATACGAAAACTCTAAATTTCCTGTTTTACGCAGAGACTTGCAATCCGCCCTGGACCCAGCTGAAGAAGCGTTGCTACTTGGTAATAGAGGCTCAGGTCCAACGATGGAAGGATGTGCTGAGCCAGTGTCTGAAGTTCAATTCACTGATGGTGACCATTTCCTCGAAAGAAGAAAATGAATTTCTCCATCAACTTGTTCAGGTAAGTAGTGAAAAAAATTATGAAAATTTTAAGGGCGTATGTGAAATCGACACTAACTAAAGCATATATAAACAGTTAAAGTGCGTCACTGATATAATTGATCCTTTCCCGGTTGCAGATAAAATCCAGATAAGACTGGTCATTGAAACCCCAAGATGTAAATCATGTGTTTTAAATCTATTTTAATTACAATAAGGAAATTATTTTACCCACCATCTCGTCTCGAGATGAATTAAAAGAGCTTTTTAACTCAGTTCCACTAGAGCAAAATATGTATTAAGAGTAAATGCAAAATCAATGATCTCAAAAGATACAGAAAAATCCTGATTTTACCATTTCAGTTGGACAAAATTTTAAATACGACGTTTGTATTATAAGCAGTAGTAAATTTTATGATTCAAAGTAGGGAAAAACACAGCAGGTCCCTACTTCTTCAGTTTTAATTGTGCAGAATTCTTAACACTTTGTTTTTCCTTCTTTAACATGATGCCGAGTGGCATAAACGTAAATTTCAGGGTTTTTTTCTTAGGGAGAAGAGATGGACTCAAGCACAGATGTGGCTCGGCCTAACGAAGATGCACGCTATTAGTAGTTTTCTCTGGGTGGATATGACCACCTTAAAAAGATACACAAACTGGGTCCCTGGAGAACCAAATAACGCAGGAGGTCACGAGTTATGTTCTGAGATATTAGTCTCTGCTAAATACTGGTTGGGCAAGTGGAATGATGTAAATTGCAACGCAGCACGTGACAAGACTCTCACAGTCTGTGAGAAACCTTTACGAGAGGAAAACTAAAAGTAATGATCTAGTTACTTCCCGAAATTCTTTAGATATGGTTAGCTGATTAGTCCTCGAGCTGTGCTGTGCGTAAAACAAGAAATTGTCATTAAACGGGGAGATTCATTACATATTAATACCTCACTTCTCTTGGTGTTCGTAGAAAAACTAAGTTACTCAGTGTATTGAAAACAACTATTTGATCATATCCTACTTTTTTTACGCCTTCATCTTAATTTTCATTTGAATTGATGTTCTCTCTCGGTAGCAGACCTTGGTCTTAAACTTGAAATAAGTAGTAACATATACTTCATCGTTAATTCAGTATGGAACCTTGTTAACCGGCTTTCTTTTACGATACTCTTTGTTAATTTCCTTTTATTTTGGGGGTTTTTTTTTTTTTTTTACATTATACAATTACCTTAACGTGGGTTGACATTTGTAGCCGAACTTTTTTGAAATTGCTTTTCCTGTATTTCGATAATGGGTGTATTAGAGTCTATTGGAGAAATGTACTAAAAATCAAACTTTAAAGAAAAAACAGTTTAGCATTTTAATTCGAGATGACTTCACTGGTAAACGTTTTTAATTTTTATCTCCTATTTGAAATCTTTTTGTAAGTATTTTCGTTTTAAGAGCACTTAGCTTGTCAATATATGGAAAAGAAAAAGGCTGTGAAGAGTGTTAGTTCCGTCTTGTCCTACGTTTTGTTTATTCATAACTGATTAAATATCTTTAGCGTGACTTTGTTTCGTTCAGTTTTAACACCTCTAAGTTTATTACACTTTTGCCATAATTTAGCTCGGACTGTCCGAAAACCAGGGAAGAAGATCACTTTGTAGAAAGTAAAGGTTTGCGAAGGGAAAAAGGTTTTTTCTTATGCAAGATATTTCCTAGTGAGAATAGATGGGTGTTACGTAGCAAGGGAATATAAACTGTTTATATTCTCTTGTGCATAGCGAGTGAAGCACATACTAATTTGACAGCTTAGCTACTGTCATCTTGGCATAGGTGGGAACGGTTGTTCCAGAGAAGATTGGGTTTGAATTTGAAGTTAGTGGTTGTAAGTAAGTTAAAAGTTTTTTTCAATAAAGTGAGTATAACTAAAAGAGTGTTAAGAACAAGTATTCTTTCAGAAATATTGAAGCTTTGAAATAGTTACTCGCTACCTCTTTAAAAATAAAACTGGCTGGATGTCAACCGAGCCGCTTCGGTGTCTAGAAATTAAAATTATATATTATTTTTTGGGCGTTTGGGCGAAGCAGAGGGGAAGTGAAAAATGAAGATTACAACAACTTTGGTAAAAGCACATGTATACAGCAAAACAAAGATAATGACGTAACACTGACAGAAAGAAAAATACAGCTCCTGGTCACGAGTATCCATTGACATATAGTTAACCCAGAATATCTTTAATAACCTTTATTACCACAGCAACAGGATTGCGAAATATTCCCTTACCTCCCACTGGAGCTCCCAGTTGCGGCAGTTTTAGTCGCCACGGCAAGTGAAAAATATAGTTGACGACTAAAATCTCGGGGAAAGTCGCCAGTTGGCGACCAACAGATTTGAAATAAAAAATTCGTTAAATCTATAGATGTACAAACGCAGGTAAATCCTGTCTTTCTTCACTGAGGAGAAAAACTCCCACCCACCATTACAGAGAAAATTTTTCTTTTGATAAGCCTCAGTGACCGCCGAAGATTTGGCGCGTCGGTCAGCATATTTGCGGCAAAATCTTGGCGAAATCACACTCGAAAGAATATGCTATGAATTTATGACGAGAGTAACATTGAGTGGTAGGCGATGGGGTCACATTTCATGATCGTTAGCCTAACTTGTCGATCTGAAGCTAGTTTAAATAACAGACAGTTCAGACTGCCTACGGGTATTGTTCCCGCATCCCACATGTGAATTGGTACCCTGTTCCACAAGAGAAAGATGATTCAACAATATTGGGACTAATTGACACTCAAACAATAATTGAATGGTGACAAATAATCATATTTCAGTAATAATATTAATATTCATAGTAATAATGGATGTAGTAGTAATGACTTGCAGAGGCTAGCTCAAGAACTTCACTGTGCTCCTATCGGTTTATCCTCTAGGCTCCAATAATGTTTAAACCAGGCTTCTTTTAATTTCAATTTTATAGCTGTTAATCGTAAATAATTTTCATACTTAATTGCGATTCCATTATTTCAGACTTTGTTTTACACAACAAGGCATTCCGCGTTGTAGGATATTCCGCCATTCAAGCTTTCCATCATTCCATCGAATAGGGTCCCCCTGTTAATCTCAAGGTATTGCAAGCTTCGCAAATTTAGCGGTTCTCTTGAGCATTTGTAACTAGTTGAAATTATAAATTGCTCTCTTTTCGAATAACGTTGAACGACCGAAGATGTTCCGAAACAAACAAAGGCCAAGAGCGAGGATTATCAAATAAAACTCGGCAGACTTTGTTGTGGCCTAAGAGGTCATTCGTATTCTATTGTTACACTCGCTCAACAGGACAATATTATGGCTTCGTCTCCACAGGAGGCAGTAGCCATCTAAACGAGTTTATTTAACGTGAGTAGCATAGACTTTCTACGGGGAGTAGCTTCCTTATGAAGCAGTTTCGAGAGCTTTGCGTCATGAAGTGTTGCTCGAACATGTAATGATATTCATGGCGTTCTACTGTTGTTGTTTTTTTTTTAGGAATGGCCACTCAAAGTAAACAAAAAAGCACTGCATGATCGATGATTCATGATTTGTTAAAATACTTTTAAATAGAAAATGTTATTCTAACCCTCTAACCCTGAATATTATAACTCCTCAAAATATCCACACTTAATTATTTCCCAAGGTCACGAGAATTGAGAAATTGATCACCAAAGAGAAACTTCGCTGATTTTTACAAATTTTCGCGACTTGTTATGCGAAAATGTATGTAGACCTTCGGAAGAATTCTATGTGTTGACCACTCTACTTGAACAGAGAGGTATAAGGAGGGAAAGGGTACTTTAAAACGGAATAAGTTGTTATTTGAGATTCAGTTGACCCCATAGGACTAGAACTTCTGCGTAGGCTCTAATAAATTTGCGTTTCCGTTCAAGCCATTGCATATTAGAACAATTTTTCCCTCCATCACGACTCAAAACATGTTTGTTAGAACGCGACAAGTCAAAACACAGAATTAATTGAGCTGTTGCCCAAAATGATGGGTCTATTCTGTTATCCTTTCTAGTACCATTTCCGTCATCAAACAATGTGCTTATCCAGTCGATTTAGAATAGAATTCGAAGGTTTACATTGGCCTTAGTATTATCAGATATGATACCCCTCTGCCAATTAACCCTGTATTGCTACGTACTCAGCCTAATTAAGTGGCCAATTAACCCTGTATTGCTATCCTGGAGTCATCTATGGTTTCCGAGAAAGTTACATAACCCGACTGTGTTTCATGTTTGTAAAATTTCCTTGAATTCTCCAAGCCCTCTCGTGTTTGGGGGCCTAAAAACACAAAAACAGTCTGGAGCGCTCATTTATTTTTGAGACCTCAAGGAAGGGCACTTTTTCGAGACTTATTTGTGTTGAGCTTGCCACGTTTACTCTGAATATAAGACGATAGGCTGTAGGCCACGACGTTCGGGAGTCCCTTTTATTATCACTCTATATTTGAGATGATCATTTCTATCGGTTACTTGAATCCGAATGTTTTGCTGCTTCCTTTCGACCGAAGAGCCTTGGTCGACATTGAAACGCAGCCAAGTATATTCACGACGAGGCAACAAGTAAATATTACTCTTTAAAGCTTCAAAATATTGGTTAAAAAGTATTTCATCTTCGACACTCTTTTGAGATGATCTCTCTTTATTGAGCAAACTCTTAACTTACTTACAACCCCCAACATAAATCTCAAAGTTTAACATAACTCAATCTTCTCTGGGAAAAACATTAATTCCCACCCATGCCGAGGCGACAATACTTCATTCGCAATGTAACACACATCCAATCTCACTAGAAAAGATCCTGCATCAAAAAACTCCTTTACCCTTCGCAAATTTTTTCGTTCACAAAGCGGTCCTCTTCTCTGAATTTCGGACAGTCCAAGTTACGATTTGGCAAACCTCAGCTAAACTTAGAGATGGTAAAACTTAAAGGAAAATATTCGCCGAACTAAAACTGAACTCTCAGGAGAAGTGATGGCTAAAGATTTTAAATGAATTATGAAAATGAATCAAAAATTTGGAGAAGGAGGGAAGAACACTAAGCTTCGTCCTTTTTTATAGATCGAGAAGTTAAGTGAACCTAAAAGGAAAACGCTTATAAAAGAATCCAAGTAAGGATGAAAAAAAATATATCAACTGTTTACTCGTGCAGCCACCTCGAGAAAAATGCTTAACTGCACTGACGATAAGCTTTTCTCATAGTGGCAAAATATATCAACTGATAAAAATGTCAAATGTAACGGATGATAAACTAGTTTTTTCCAATATGCCTAGAAAATGAAGGTGTATGTGTTAACAGTTTTCATCCCAGCGCCGTGAGTTATTAGTATATTATACGGACACACTTCCGCTGCAACTAATTTCCTGCACAGCTGCTACAGAACTAATTAAAAAAACCTAAATAGTTGTGGCAATTAACTAAATCATTTCTTTCACTTTCCCTCTGGGAGAGGTTTTTCGCGGACTGTGACAGACTTGTGACCGGTTATGTGGCAATTCACATCATTCCACTTGCCCAACTGGTATTTTTCAGATACCAATATCTCAGTACACAACTCTTGACCTCTTGCATTTTTCGGTTCTCCAGGGGTCCAGTTAGCGTACCCCTTTAAAGGACTCCCATCAACCCATAGAAAATTACCAACGCCGTGCACCTTCTTCGGCCCGAGCAACATCTGATCTCGGGTCCACTTCTTCTCTCTGAGATAAACCTGAAATTCGCATTTGCGCCATTCAGCGTCATGTTTATGAATGCCAAGCTCAGTCGTTGACACAGAGTTTTGGAATCTACTGCAGGAATCAATCGGAGGGCCCAGTTGTTAGGAGGCTGAGTAGCTCTAGCCCAGTGTTAAACTTTAACCCGGATTTCTTTATTGCTTTGTTGAAAGATCATTTTCGGATGACTTATTTATTCTTTTTAGAGTATCCAATCATCACATTGAAGACTTAAAATCCTGAATTTTTTTTGATAGCTGTCAGATCTGAAACCAGATTTCACACAAACCTTGGGTTTTTTAACCCAACTTTGAATAACCCAGCCCAGCAGCAGGTAATCATCCATGGATAGAATCATAATTTTCCTAATTTGACGGCCAAGCTTAATTATAATCTTTCATATAGCAAAAGATCGAGCTTTTTAAGCCTTTTTTTTTTCCAATGAAATAACATAAGTGAAGATCTTTCTCTTTAACCCCCTCTAAGGCTATGAATTGAGCTTGAGACACTGGCTCATCGCGTTCGCCCATCGATTAGCTCGTGCCTCTACTACCCAGTAGTAATACCCCTTCAGCTCGGTCCAGGGTACCGTTAGATAACAAGTTTCTGCGTCAAAACGGATATTAAGAGTTTTGCATTAACAACCATTCACTATGCAGGGGAGAGGAAATTTTAAATTCTCTATTAATGGGAAAAATAAGTTCACTCCATCAATCAAAACAGCTTTGAGAGTAAATTTCTACAGTTGACCCCGGCGTCTAATTTTACGGTTATTCTACTTCGTATTAATTAATCATTTTACCATACCTGTGCACATTGTACTACTCTACAGTCAATAACTCTTTCCCCACGTGCAATAATAACTTCCAACAGTGTTCCTGCATGATTTTCCACATGAATTTGGCCCAGAAGCACAGGTGCATTCAATCAACCTTTGGCACTCGTCTACATCTGTCGGGCGGCCAGAGGAGGACAAGTAGTTAGGTTAAGCCACAGCATTAAGGTGCACTTTAGTAATGGTAATATGAATGAGTAGGATAAATAAATAAATAAATAAATAAATAAATAAGTGGATGAGTAATATGAATGAGTAGGATAAATAAACAAATAAATAAATAAGTGGATGAGTAATATGAATGAGTAGGATAAATAAATAAATAAATAAGTGGATGAGTAATATGAATGAGTAGGATAAATAAATAAATAAATAAATAAGTGGATGAGTAATATGAATGAGTAGGATAAATAAATAAATAAATAAGTGGATGAGTAATATGAATGAGTAGGATAAATAAATAAATAAATAAATAAATAAGTGGATGAGTAATATGAATGAGTAGGATAAATAAATAAGTAAAAGTGGATGAGTAATATGAATGAGTAGGATAAATAAATAAATACATAAATAAGTGGATGGGTACTATGAATGAGAAGGATAAATAAATAAATAAGTGGATGAGTAATATGAATGAGTAGGATAAATAACTGTTTATGTATGTTTATTTATCACCAATCAATTGTGTTAATCAAAAAATGGGTGGATGTAAGAGGGCGTACGCTTCTTATTTAGCTTTCTAGTCCAATTTGTTTAAAGTAGGCAACTCTCACTTTTAAAGAAGTTTTCTTTGTTTTGATTGGCTAGCTTAAGGCCATTATACTCATAATTTCAACACACCCCTCATTTGGAGTTAATTGGCAGTCAATTCTCGAGAGTCTCTCCTAAACAGATTTAATTCTCTGTTAGTGACGACTGATCCGCACACAGTTTACCCAAAAACCATGTAATCCCTCCTAACTCCTCTGCACCCTCTTCCCAGGTGTTTACTGATGACCAGTCCCTTAACCCACCGATTTGGCCCGGCCGACTTAAAGCAGCTAATTAAACCTCAAATGTGGGCTTTAAAGAGCCTCTTACTAACGGATATTTTGTTATTGACACAATTTGGTGGGGTAATCAGAAAGCCACAATTTAGTAATGACGGAAACTTGACTCTTACCAACGCACTTCTTACTATCGTATGGGCTTGTTTTGTACCAGCTGTTACAGGAGCAAAGTCTTGATGCTCCTCTCCTGTTAATGCATTGCTGCTGACAATCTCCGTTGTTTGAAGAGCGTTCGTTTACATCTGTCGAAAGAAGACGGACAGAATAGTTTATTACTGTCTCAGAAGATTGAGCTCGATCGGCCAGGGAAATAATAATTTCATTATTTTGAAGAAACACATACGCATTTGGACAGAAGACATGTTATTTGGCACGTTTATCGATTATCCTATGATTTCCAGAACATTCTTGAGTAGTCCTTTAGGAAAGTTCTAGTGGTTTCGACATGAGTACGTGACGTTTATTTCTAGAAACTCGAGTTGTTTACCGTAAATTCTGGAAAATTCTATGATGTAATGTTACTAAAAATAGTCGTGTTGTAAATCTGTAGAATCTTCTGGAAAGATTGTAAGGAACTATATAAGAAGGTGCATTAGGTCGTTGCGTTTAGAGGAAAAAGAAGAAAAAGAAGAGAAAAAGATAAAGGAAATAAAGGAGTTAGTGAAAACAATTCATTTCAAGGTTTATCACGAAACCAACATTTCTAACTTTAAAACCAAAATTTGCCATCTTTCTTATTCTATTTAAGAACATGTCGTTATCGACTTTCTAATCTTAGCAGTATGCCTATCCCCTCCCACTTACCTAGAATGTACCTAACAAATAAACAGGATAAAAGAAGACTAAATTATAGCTAGCTCCCTACTGTAGGTATCGAGCGCTGGGGAATTATGTCAACTATTTATGTGACATCTGTTGTTGAAAGTTGCTTGATTGTTTTTTAGAGTTATTAATGTATTGACTATGAATATATGAGATGCGGTTTAATAATGAATATATATATCTTATTAGACGTTTTGTTGTGTAGTATCGCTGAGTATTTTTACGAGTTTTGCCGTATTTTGACGAGCCCGTAGGGCGAGTCAAAATATAAATAACGAGTAAAACTACTCAGCGATAGTACACAACAAAACGTCTAATAAGTTATTTATTATCTAACACGCCAAACTGTTATTTCAGTGCGGACGAATTTCGCGGATATTTCTTTACGGGGAGTGCGTGACAGAAGTATACGAAGCAGAACGGGATTGGCGCGTTGTTCTGTTGCTGTTTCTATTTTCTTCATTAAATTAAGAAATTTTCTGGTCGTCAAGCTGTTTTTCTTCGTTCGATTCATCTAATGAGCTTGGATCTATATTTGCCAGCCATTCTGACTCTTCGTCGTCGAAAATATGATTGAAATTGTCCACCATTTTTTTTTTCGTAACTACAATCCAATTCTTCTCTTGCGCGATGCGAGAAAACCTGTTTAACCGGTACTCTACAATAGACGAGTACAAATACCGCGTGATATTTGTACTCGTCTATGGCGTTATTTGTACTCGTCTGGGTGTAGTTGGATAATAAGTGACTGATCTTCGCAGTAATGAATAGTAGTGAAAAAAGAGCCTGAAAAAAA